TTGGGGTTCAAGTGTTACTAAATTTATTTAATGCATGTTACTATAATAAGTATGATTGATTGATTAATGTTTCCTTAATGTTATTTATGGAACTAATTAAGAAAAGCTAGATACATTTGTTGAAAGTTAGGTTTAGGTGTTGCACTTACATCTAACTCGCAGAATAAATAAATACAAAACTTATTGAATAATTAATAATTATTGTACCGATCAACACCGCCATGTGTATCTCATATTTAGCTTCAAATTTTACTACTCCATCGCTTATTGTATTTCAAATTGATAAAATTGCATAATTTGTAGTTAGACTGCACTATATCTTTCATGTAATCGTTGTGTGACATGTCAATTTACTATTATGACATGTCATAAAAGTGATAAAATATATTAGAGAAAAACCTTTTAATCTAAAGACATTGTAGTAACCTTCAGTTTACTATTTTAATTTCTATTGCGAGGTATAGCGATTACGTTAAGATTAACTATTATGTTGTTGCCAACTAAGTATCTTTCATCAGTTTGGAGGTGGAGTAACGACAAGCAGTAGAGGAGCCAGCACCCAATGAGCAACTGCGATCAACATGTAGGCTCCGTTGAAAAACAAAAAAAAAATCCTACACGTGGGTGTCAAAGGCAAAAATGAGGCTCCAACACCTCCAAGGCCATCGGCTCCACCGATTCCTTCAACACCACCAAGAATTGGTAGCACTGCCACACCCCAGAAAATGCAACCAATACAGAAGCAGTCGCCCACGTCGACGTAACAAATGAAGTTTTTCTGATCATCAACACTTCTACAAGGCTAAGAGTGTTATAATTACGTACAATTTGCCATATATATCACATAAATATGATAGATAGAACAAAATGTGAATGAATGTTGAGAAGGATGGGGTATTTAAGGGCATTTTCGAGTATAGATGGCAATTTGAACTGTTAAAATCGAAAATCGCGGTTAACCGAATCGAATGGAGCGAAAAAAATCGAACCGATGGTGCAATGAGGCGAATATGGTATTTGATTTTAATGAATCGGTTCGTGGTGATGCATGTATGGTATTTATGCTGTCAAATTGAAATTGAACTAATTACCCGCTTAAAAAAAAATCATTCTTTTATTTGGGGTGACAAGGTTTCGTAATAAGAAAGTTGACAAAGAGATATATTTTTTTATTTAAATCTTAGTTAAAATCATTCTGGATTAGGTAATATCGTTGTATTCTCTACTTACATTTCTTATTTACTATATAGGAATCAATTTTGAGTACTGTTCTATGCTAGTTAGAGTTGTGGGAAAGAATAAAAATTGAATATGAGTTAAGGTTGAAGATTTTGAATTATTAAGCATGAATCAAATAACTACAATGCACAAGAATCAAAAATGAATGAAATATTTAGTATTGTTATATTCATAATATTGTTTGTTAAATTTGTATTTTACAATTGGAATTTGGGATCATGATTGCATTTTCATGTGGAATATTACCCTTGTTTGAGCCCCATTTTGGTGGAGAAAATGAATTTTTGAATAGTATATTGATGGGAAATATGTGGTTAAAAAATAAAGAAAAGTCTTGGATTTACGTGTAATATTATTTTATTGAAAAATGTGTGGTTTAAATGATGTCAAAACATTGTTTAAGAATGTATTTTTTTTTTGGAAAAAATGGGGCTCCGACAAGGACATTATGTTTTTGTTTTCATTGACTTTCTTTTCATAAATTGTTTTATATCAATTTGACGAATGGACCTATAAAAAATAATTTATTTTTGTGGTTACTAACCGAATCAAGCCGAGTTGAACCAAGATACAAACCGAACCGATTTACGTGGTTATAGTGCGATTGTAGTATGACAAAAAATTTGATGATTCGGTGATGGTTTTGGCTGAACTGAACCAAAACCGAACCGTTGCCATCCCTATTTTCGAGGCTAAATTGAATGGAGGGCATTCAACGAACATGAATTTATGTCATCCCATGCAAGGTAAATTGCTTACACTTGTTTAGTATTGTGCCATGCAGAAATAAAATAATTTCAATTCCAAACAATGATACGCTTTGTGTTTAGATAGAAAATGTGATAGAACTTATATTTTTGTTGAATTCTATAAATTTCTTTGTTTTTTTTGAACTTGAACAATCACAATCTGTAATCCATAGCTGTCAAATTATTCAGCCTTCAATAAAAATTCTCACGAGGAACAAGATTGAGAGAACTATGATTTTTATTTTTATTTTGTTAGCAAGAATGTGAAATTGTATTCTCTACAGATTTTTAAAACCCTAATAACCTATTAATATACGTCTAAGTGGACTTAGCTCACCACTCAAAATTAATCTGGTTAAATATTTAATTAATTCAGTTAATTAAATTTGATCCATTGGGTCTATTAATAAGCAATCCAAATAATTAATTGTGCGACTATAAGGTCCTCAATACGATACCTAATAACATGAATTATTATTTTGATTTAATCAAAATCAATAAATTAAAATATCACTTTTTAATTTATAAACAATTCACATTCGTCGTCCCAAATTGATACCTAGCAATTTACTAAGGTAATACATGTGATTGGAAATGTCACGTGATTTGACAAAACCAAATTTGTTCGTTTACCATTAAATTATAATCCATTCGTCAATATGATCCGATCAATTACGAGATATGAATATGTGTTTCATTCCACTATAATTTAATATAAGTTGAAAATTCCTTTTCGACTTATGTATACATTTTGACTAAGAATTTCGTTATCAACTTAATTGAATGAAATATAGATCATAATTTCTTACTATCTAAGAGTGATAAAACATCTATTGATCATTTACAACCTTCATATCATTCTTGACATACCCGAACAATACCGTATTAACAGTCATTGACAAATCAACATCTAATATCACCAAAGTATGACTGTCATCATATAAGACACTATAATAACCTCAAGTCAAATGACAAATTTCACTACGGAATATTAGAGATTAATTATTAACACTCAAACAGTTATCTATGTGGAATCTCCCCAGCGGATCTTCAATGTTTTATTTTAGAACAAAACATCCATGTGTTCATTTAAGTGTCACCAAGTTTTAGTTTGTGAGATCAGTTACTTGCTTAACAAGTAAGAAATGTCATACGTGATGATCTATTCGTAATAACGATATCAGTATCTCATTATTATTTATGACCATGGATGATTTAAAATTCAATTATAAGTAATTTGTATATTACAATCACAACTCTTTGTAATTAGCAAATTACTAAAATTTGAATTTACGGACTCTATTATTTAATTTAATTGAATATTAATTGTCATAAAATTGTATCAATTATATTTTAAAAGTTCAAAATTGATTTGATTTAAGGCATAATACTTACAGTTCCTATACACGTTTTTTTCTTCTTCTTTTTTTCTTTTGTGAATTTTGTCTTAATTTTGGAATACCTTTTTATGGGAAATATTGGAGTTTGTTTTGTTTTTAATTTAACCCTGATTACAAATGAATTTAAAAATTAAATTGAAGTTCAATGATTTAACCGAGACAAACTAAAGTTCTATGGACCCAATTGAAATTTCAGTAAAGTTCAATGACCGTATATGAAATTTAAACCACTCAAAAATACATCCGCAGTTGAGACCAAA